CTCCCCAACCCCCCCCAACCCCCTCGGTCATCTATATGCTACCCCCTGTATGCACATCCGCAAGGCTAAGAGTGTGTGTTTCACATGAGCGACCTGCATCGATGCGCATCCCGTTGCGCAGGTTTCTGCATGCGAAGTTGGCACTTGCAGAGCGCTACACCTAGGATGACTTCCCTTCGGCAAATGCAGTGGGGAGATGAGTGGAGACGGTTGGATCTTCTGCTCGTGTGCATGTCTCTAACGAATAGGCATGCAGCGAAATCCCGGCGTCTCGTTGTTTTCGAATTTGTTCATGTATGTACCTGGAGTGTGCTGCATGTCGTGTGCCTGCCTGTGGCTGGCGCGAGAAGAACGGGCTTTGTCAATGTACGGACAATGCAGGCCCTTCTGTTCCGATTGGTACCAGACAAGATGCCCGAGTTGTTCTGCGCTCGCTTTGGATGAGCTGCGAAATCTGTGAGTCAGACCCGTGCGTATTCAGCGAAGGCAGGTGGCTGGCTGGAAGCGAAAGGCATTACATGGCCCCGGGCAGCATTCACGGTGATTGACTGATTGACTATTGGCCAGGTGTCATATCAGAAAAGCGTGATTCTCTCGTCTTTTGAGACACTCCTGTAGAGTCACAAAATTAAATCGAGAATCAGCTTGATAGTCTTCCTCTACAGGCAGAAAGACAGGAAATTACAACTATCATACACGTACCACGAGCAAAAGACAAGCAAATGACATGAATGCGATCAACGAGTGAGAAACACAAGCAAACGTGCAAAAGACTCACCCCAGGCCCTCCACTCCCTCTTCCATGTATGCCATCTCCGCCGCATTGAGCTCCATTGCCGCCTGTGCGGCATAGAAGAGTGGCACCTCCTCTGCTGCCTGTGGGTCGTCCTCGAGGTCTCCGTCATGCTGATGCCCGGCCTGCCCCTCAGGCAGTGCGGGTGCGTCAGCAGCGGGCACAGCAGCGGCTTCAGCGGGCTGTGGGTGGGCGGCGGGCACAGCAGCACCTGCAGCGGGCTGTGGGTGAGCGAGAGGGACGAGCGGCTGGACGGGTCGAGTCGTGACCGAGGTGAAGAAGGCGCTGGGCCGACTCGGAGCGGGAGGGCGAACGGCCCCTCGTGGCTCTTGGAGGGGCGGATGACGACAATGGGCGGTGGGGACGGGTTGTGCTGGGCAAGGAAGCGGAACATCGACCCCTCCAGCGACCGAAAGACAGCATACATCTCTCGAAGTATGCGGTACAGGTCAGGCTGGTTGGACGATTCTGCGTCGTCGAGTGCGGCGTCCCACCCCTCGCCGAGCACACCACCCTCCATGCAGAAGCCGAGGCTGCCCACGGACGACACCCCGTATGTCTTCTTGTTGGGAATCGGGGTGCCTGTGAAGGGGTCGATGGTGGTCAACTGCCGACTGCGTGCAGGACCATCCTTGAACCCCTTCAGCGGCTTGCGGTGCTTCTGTGCTCTCTGTTGGTTGCGCGTCCGCTTGGCGGGAGGCCCTGTGATCTCCTCGCTGTCATTATCGCCCTCGTGGCCAACGGCATCCATGTCCATCATGAGGGTGTACACTGGAGTGTGGGGTGGTGGAGAGGGAGAGGGGAGGGGAGCTGGCGGACGCGGAGAGAGGCGGGGAGGCCTTCAGGCAGTGCAACGGGCCATCTGAACGGACATACACAACAGACAGACGACAGAAAGGTACAAATGTGTATACGTATGTGTACGTGTGTGGGTATGTGTGCATTAATGTGTAGATGTCTTTTCCCCGCCGCCCTCGGCGTGTACCTGAACGAGGGAGCACAGATCAGGCTGCGATGTTGTGAAGAGAACGAGGCCGCCGACCCAAAGGAACCCGAGAACTAGGGCATTAAGTGTCTGCGGCAGATACAAAAATGGACGTAAGTCGCGCAGGTATGGGTCGTGAGCGGGTGATTCTTACATGATTCGACAGCTTATGCAGAGGCGGTTTGCATGACGTGACGGCAAGTGCCTCGGCTTTCTGCATCAAGAGAAACAGGAGGGTAAGTGATTGTCTCATAGAGAGTTCCCGTGTTTTCGTGTGTGTGATAGTGTCAGCTTTCCCTGCGTGTTGGTGCTCACCGTGTACGGCATTTGACGGTCGTCAGTGTGGTGTGGTAGGATCGGGGCAGGGGCCCTCGGATGGCCGTGAGGCTGATGGGTAAGTTCTCGGGAGATGCGGCTTGGCTGTTTCAGAGGTAAGATAGGGCCGGGCAGGGGTGGGACTTATGAACGGTTGAGAGTGGCTGTCGCTGGCTCTCGAATGGCCGGATCAGCTTGCACCCATGCGCCCTCTGTGTGACGCGGCGGATCTTCCCTTGTCAGTCGGGTTAGGGAGAATTCTCGATGGTGAGGGCGTGAGGGGATGCTGTGACCCCCATGTTGATCAGCACACCAAGCCGGTTCACATGGTATCAGTTTTGCCCTTCTCCGGTCGCTCGCTGTGGAGAAACAGTTTCTTAATGTCTTTTCTAGCCCGTTTCTCGACAGTGTGAGACTGCGGGCCAAAAATTTTGACACTGCGTTGCAGCTCGTCTCAGACCGGTCCAGATGCGCACACACCCGAGCGGATCCACGAGACCCCCTATTCTTCCATAGGGGACGCCCCCATCCGAATATTTCGCTTGGCAGCTCCACTGCAGGGTGGGTTACATGGCTGTACTAAGCTGTTGTAAGGCTGAGATGATCTAAAAAGCGTCAAAGACGACTCCACCCGTTCACAAAGGCATACACACAAAGTATTGCTGTATATATATATATATATATTTTACGGCCGTCGTTATGATGCTTTCGGATCCCACTCTCGACTCCCAAGCCCAAATCGACCTCATGCATACATTGTTGGTTGGTTACACTAAACCGTACAGGAGCATGCATGCACTAAATAGCAGCATGCACATTGTTGAGAAACCAAATAGGCTATAGCCGTGGTTCTACCTCTGCGGGCCGACACATCATTTCTCCAACACACATGCAGGAAAGCATGCAGGTTCTCAGCTCACATTTGGGGTCTTTCCACGGGACCAATTTTTCTCCTCTGTGAGGCTTTTTCGAGGTTGAAGAAGGCCGAGGACATCTCCGCCTCATCAGTCCGGTCCGGATGATGTGCGACTTGCAGTGAAACACCATGTGGAGCACCCCGGCTGCCCCATCGACCGCCGTTTCTGCGGGCAGCGTGACGTCGCAGGGGTAGGAAAAGCTTTCGACGGGAGAGGCTGCAGCAGTGCCTTCCGTCCAGCGACTCTGAGCAGTCCAGAGACGGATGGAAAGCGTCTTCGGTGAGGTAAAATGTAAGAAGGTGAGACGGGCGAAAGGACGGGCACTCGGGGTCACATTGCACATGCATGGTGAAGCTCAGGCATGCTCTGGCCACTCCAGTACGTCTTCAAGCCAGTCTATGTCTTGCATGGGAAACGGCGGATGGGAGGGCCAGGGCCCTCTACCAATCTGTGCACACACGACACACACGGACACCGAGTATACAAGACAGACGCGTACACGCACCCCCACGACATATACCTGGCGCACCACCTCCCCGGGCCCAGGGGAAGTATACAAGCTGGGCAGCCCTGCCGCCATCAGGGTGAAAACGAACTGGCCTTTATACGAAATCCAGGGGTAGCCAAGGGAAACCTTGGTGTGCCAAACATCCGCCGTGGTCCCTGCCTCGTTTTTGCAGGGCTGCTATATCGTTTCCATGGATGCATTTTCATGCGTTCATAGGAAACGCAAATGAATGAATGAATGAATGAATGAAGGAAGGAAGGCTTGTCACTCGGGCCCCCGAGTGGTCCTTCAGTTTCGCAGGGATGGTCGCTCGCCCCCCGAGTCTCGTTAAACACAACACAATAACCAACCAACCAGCCAGCCATGCCTGTAGCGCCTTATCTGCTAGCCATTGGTGAGCGGGAGAGATCCTTATGCCTCATCAAGCCAGATCTCATCGCTGGACAGAAGGTGACCAAGTGTTTCTTTGTCAACTCGGCAAAGAAACGAGGTCTTCGACTTTCAGGGCTGTGAAGTGGTTGCGCGTCTGGAGGAGGATGACTTCGAAATCAAGCAAAAGAAGATTGCATATCTCACAAAAGTAGGGGACAGGAAGCCATTGAAGAACGATTTTGCCAGTGCCGGTCTGTAGGGTGACGTTGAAGCCCTCTTCACCGACTATCATGGACGGAGTGACTATTCGCAAAGGGTCGCCTTCATGACAAGGTCCACGAGGGATGGCTTCCGCTGATGGCTTCAGGTCCAGAAGCCCGTCTCCCACTTCTATGTTCTGTTGTCAGTGGTCCCGTGTGGGTACTGGTGGTGGAGCACTTGGAGGGAGATACTGTCAATAGACTCGCGGCCCTCGCAGGACCGAACGACCCGCAAGTGGCAGACGAAACGACGTATGCACTCACGGACGAGAAAGCCCTTCCAACAAGAACGAGAAGATGTTTCTTCCCCACAGGTTGCGGGGCCAGTATGGACACGACGAAGTGCGAAATGGCGTACATGTGAGCGCTGACAAGTGGGCAGCGGTGCGCGAAAGGGACTTCTTCTTCCCATACCGTAACATAGGCTTCATGGGAAGAAGCCTCTATCACAGCTGTGCATCCACGTGTAATTTGTCAGTGTGCGAGTGTCCCACTGAGCGCACGTTTGGCATGGTCAAGCCCGACGCCACATCGCATGCGGGAGAGATCCTCGATACCATCGGCAAAGAGAACCTGCTCGCCGTAGGGTGAGCAGGAAACAAGCGGGGCGAAATCTATTGGAATGGTGTGATGTGCCAGAATGTGTGAGCTAAAGCTGTCGGCGGCACAAGCTGAGGAGCTATACACAGAACACAAGGGCAAGGTGCGTTTCGACGACTACTGGACTGAGATACACAAAACGGCCTTCATACCTTTTTGCTCAGCCCTTTTACGATGGCTTGATGAGCTTCATCACCGAGGAGGCGGGCATCAGTAGGCGACCGTTGAGAAGTCCATCGACTCAATGTATCCTTCGTTTGCCCTCCTTTTTGGACACAACGCAACTGTGTACACATGCAGTTGCGTTGTGTCTGGAGGGAAGAGGAGCGATCGAGCGGTGGAGACAATTATGCGGTCAGATCAACGCACGGCCCCTTCCACTGGCTTGCGGCTCCCGTCTTGTCCTTAGGTCCCACGGATCCTGACACTGCTCGCACTATCGCTCCATGGACGCTGCGCGCTCGATTCGGCACAGATGCCACTAGAAATGCCGTGGTACGTCACCATCTAGACTCCTGTATACCCAAATGAGTGGAGTGCCTAGATTGGCTGTACAGCATGGATCGGATTGCCCTGCCAGCGCCGCACACGAGTTGAATATCTTCTTTCCCAAAGGTGATTTCGCGCTCATCCCGTTAGTATAGGCCTTTCGTATGGGCGCATGTTGTGTATCATGACTTGCTTCTAGGTACCCTTCCACTGGAGCGGACGCTCGCCATCATCAAGCCGGATGCCGTCCAGAAGGGTACAGACACATAAATGTCAATTAAAAGGTAGCCCATCCATGCGTACACGCTCCCGATAGGTCATACGGATGCCATCTTGCGTCGTATCAAATCATCTGGTTTCGCCGTGCTCACACAAAAGAAGCTGCTGCTGACTCGTTCCCGGGCAGAGGAGTTCTACGCCGAGCATCGCGACAGTGCGTTCTTTCCCTCTCTGGTTGAGTTCATGTGTAGTGGCCCCGTCATCACCCTCGTGCTCGGTCGAACGGGGGCGGTGCAAGTGTGGAGGCAACTCATGGGTCAGTCAGTGAGATACAAAGAGAAGCATTCGGGCATTCATACATGGCCGCTGCTTCAGGTCCCACGGATAGCGTGCAGGCACGAGAGTCAAGACCGAAGTCGATGAGAGCCCTCTACGGCGCCGATCGACAGGTGACACTGTTTCTTCGGTTCCCCAATTACGCGCCATACTTTCATGCTGCCTGCACAGGCCAATGCCGTCCACGGATCGGATTCCGCCAAGAGTGCCGATCGTGAAATAGCCTTCTTTTTCCCGGAACTGTCAGCCGACCCACTTCCCAGCGAGGGTGCAATCAAAGTGAGCGGAGGATAGAGCAAAACGGAAGGGAACATGCCAAATGCTGTGGGTGCCTATATCAGGATTACATCTTCCGCAAGAGTGCCAAGGCTGGCTCCGCATCAATCGAGTGAGCAGACATGGTCTACATGTGCTGCATGCGTGATCACGCCCTTTGTACGGCTCTCAGCCTGTCGCGCGGATCTATCCGAGAAATGTCGCAGATTGACCCCACACTGCAGCAGATCCTGGCCAAGTAGTCCAAATGTCATTTCAGATGCTGCGTTCACCCCTTTCTGTGGTCATCTGTCAGGGGTCTGCTCGGGCTGTGTAAGATCCGTCCAAAAGGCCTCGATGCGGCCAAGTGGTTGGCGGACTGGATGGACCAAAACAATCCCAGCAGGGTGCAGGTGAGAGCGCCGCCTGCGACTGCGACAGGTCCTACGTCAGTTGTGCCAGCCTCACAGCCCCCGATGGAGGGGCGCGGGCAGACGAGTGTCTATGTAGGATGCCAAAAGACCATGGATGAACCAAAACCAGAAGTAGTCGAGGTAAAAGCCTGCACGTCGGACTTGACGTATGTGCCGATGTGTTTTTGTTACGTGCATTTCTCTCTGCAGGTTGATGTGTCAGCCGAGCGGCTGACCGATGAGAGTGAGTTTGAAGGCCAGCCCCCGTTCATCGTATTCGTCCTCGGTGGAGTGCAAAAGTGCAGCTGTTCTCGTAGGGCCCTCCTCTGTCTGATCTGTTTCTCACAGGCGGTCCTGGCTGTGGCAAGGGCACCCAATGCGGCATGATCCAACGGGACTTCAACTTCGTGCACCTATCCGCAGGGGACTTGCTGAGGGAAGAGGTAGCAAGCGGATCGCCACTCGGTACGTGAAGAGACACATCCAGCATGCGAAAACCGGGCCTCAGCTGTTGCAAATTCTCTGCAGGGTCGGAGATCGAGGGCCATATGTTGCATGGAACATTGGTGCCTGCATCAGTGACCATCAGTCTAATCCGCACGGCCATTCTGCACCCAGCTAATCGCCAAATCAACAGATTTCTTATCGATGGGTTCCCTCGGGCAATCGAACAGGTATAAGACAAGCAATGGGTTCTGAGGTCGATAGTGACTGTCCGGCTTGCACTGTATTTTTAGGCTGAACAGTTCGAGCGTGACGTGTACAGCCACGCTTTTACGCTCTTCTTCGATTGCTCTGCGGAAGTGATGATGGCACGACTGCTGGAAAGAAGTGCGCGAGCAGTGCCAGTCACACGATGGTAGTCACTGTTTATTATGACATCCACTGCCCAGGCCAGACGTCCGGCCGCGTGGATGACAATGAGGAGTCTGTGCGCAAGAGACTGGAGACCTACCAAACACAAACGCTCCCCGTCATCCAACACTTCCAGCGCATCGGGAAGGTACATGCGCGCAGAGGCAACACTTTTTCTCCTGCTTATCCTTGCTGGTTGCTGCAAATGTTCAGGTTCGTCGCGTGGATGCGTCGGATGGTGTGGATGAGGTGTATCGGACGACCATGCAACTCTTCAGACCTCAACTGCTGTACCTTTTGGGAGGGCTAGGGGCGTGCACGACAGCACTGGCACAGAGACTCGCCGAAACATACCGATACTTCCACGTAGATGCTGGTAGGCGGATCTAAACGATTGCACATTGACAGCAGGGTCAGTATTGCTGTCCGTGCATCGTAGAAAAGCTAGTTGTGCAATCGGAGGAGATCTCGGCCCATCGGAAGACATCGAACGGCAATCGAGACATTCAACTCACTTCCCTTCCAAAGTCTTAGCGTCTTTTTCTCTTCAGGCAAACGGGTTGTCCCCCTGAGCATGAAGGCTCTTCCTCCGTCGGTCATCTGCCCACTGGTCGAAGAGAACATCAAAAGAGCACTCGCCAGAGGTGAATGAGTGGACGGCGAGTGATCTTTGATGTTCACGGCTTCGGGTGCACGGCTTCGGGTTCATCATTCTTCTTCAGGTCATACCCGCTTCGTATTGACGGGTTTCCCTCAGACGTTGCCACAAATGCAGTTCATCGAGGACAAGGTGCCTCCACCATGTGCAGCCACACCAATGTCTTATCTCTCTATCTATATCTCCGCATTCAGATTCATTGTGGGAGTGTTGGGTACCGCATGTGCATGCCCCGTTCGGCGCTTCGCACCCTTGCCCTGTCGCCTATCGATAAACATATACCGAAGGAGCCAACGGAGGCGAGTATCCGCGGAGTGGAGAAGCAGCTGGCACTTTTTTTTTCGACAGAGATGCGGGGTGTGACGGATGAACTCAAGGTCAGGGCATAGTATAGTGATCACACGCACAGAATGTGCCGGATTGGTGTACTCCTTAGTCTCGAGGTAACCTGAGGGACGTGCTATGCGAGGATATCTTTGTTAGCCCGATGACACTTCAAGAATCCGTCGATAAACTCTCTTGCTCCTTATCGCCCGCCACCGACGTGCAGGCCCCTCTCTGGTGCCGGCTACAAACGGCAACGAGGCCAGAGGTGACCAAGAAAAGACATACACTCTCAGGTTGTTTAGATAGAACCCACGACGTGTCGTTGTTTAGGTTGTGTTCGTACATGCGAACGGCACCTCAGTGTCGGAAAAGTCTCTGACCGACATCTCCCAGGCCATCACCGACTTGCTGGGTGGTGAGCGTCGGGGCGTTGTATGCAGCGACATCATGGCATACATGCAGATCGAAGCCAACCTTCCCACACCGCTCGGCCGAAAATTGAGGGTGAGACGCTTGACCCTAGGACACCGCCAATTGCCCTCGTCTGTGTATTTCCTTTACAGAATGCTCGGTCGAACGCGACTGACAGCCGCGATGCGTTTGCCACTCACGCCCTCGAAGCCGCCCAACAACTCGCCTCAGTTACCAATAGCTCCACACTTGTGCTCGTCAACTTCCCATTCAACCATAAAGACGAAAAGCATGTAAAAGCCATCTCTACGGAACACAAGAGTCCTGCAGACCTCCTTGCATATTGGGCAGGCTGTCGAGCTGCTTTCGATATTCAACGTCAATCGCCTGGTCCTGATCGGTGAGCCGTCATGCTGTCCGACGGGACCCAGCGCGGAGCCAGACCCCATACTGACCGAATTCGCCAGACAGGCATGTTGGCCACCCACCACTAGCCCGTCAGCGCAGCTATCAGGAATGTGTTCTGTGCCAGGGCAAGCTGGAGCACATCCCACAGAAGGAGAACGAGGAAGAGATGTTCAAGGACGTTATCGAGTGAGTGTTGTCGACAGGCAGACCCTGAACATAAGCGACGTGATCAACAGACGAGATACAATACTACATATGAATTTCACGCAGCTTTTGTATCTCACGCTGTATCCTCTCTACAATGCAGTCGTTTCGCTGCCAAGCTCCTCCTTGTGCAAGCCCCGCCTGCATTTCCGATCGGTACCTGTGCAAGCACACTCGGCGCCTTCGAATGCATCTTTGTGTGCTTTTCTCGAAGCTGATGTTGTGTCATGTCTGGCTGACAAGCTTGCGTTGACGCCACTGCCCCCCACGGGTAGAATGAAACTGCGTGGTCCACCAGGGACTCCTGTCTACTCTGTGTTTGTCTTTAAGATGTGTTGCTAAAGGAGGTGATGGATCTCGGAGGTCCCCTTGGCGACGCACTTAAAGAGCACCAGACTCGCACCAGTAGCCTGACAGCAGACGCCCTTTCCCCTGAGCTCCTCGCCCAGTCTCTGGATGCGTGGCTCGTCATGCAGCCCTCCGGCATAGGTGCTTTCATGGCCGCAAACCTCATTGGTGTTGCAGAACAGGTCTGGGACAAAATAGGATCCGAGCATTCCTAAAGGTACTTTCTGTCAACTAAATTTAGGTCGAGGCGTTAGAGGGCGTCAGGGTGAAGGCGATGGGATTGATGGAGCTGACGGCACCCAGCGAGGCATGAATGAACAAGTGTGACACGCAAAGTCAATCCGTTTATCTCTGAATGTTTGCTTCAGGCCTTGGCCGAGAGGGCGCAAGAGGCTGGAGGAGATGCCTTCAGTGCCGAGGACTTCGAGCAGGCCGTGAATCAGTACAAAGAGAGAATGGGTCAGCCTCGGATGTACAACAACAGCACGCAATACGCAGCCACGCCGTCTCCTTCGCTACATCAGATGCTATTACCAAACTGTTCGCTGGGCGGAACGCGCACTACGTGGTGGATGCGACGGGCTTCCCGCCTCCCTGGGACCTCGCACAGGTCAAGCAGTGAGATGGGCTGGTGGCCTCAGTAAGCCCAGCTGTGTATTTTTCATTCAGAGTTTACTTGACAGGTCGAAGTTCCGTTCATCAATCCTCGTGGTGCCGCCTCTTCAAGGCCTCTCTGATGTCGTGGCGTCGAAGGTCGCTTTTGAAAGTAAAAATACTCAAACACGAGGAGTTGCTTGCTGGCAGATTACTGTCCGTGTCCTGTGGTCTTAGGTGGGTGTCATCTCCGGTACCTCGACGCCACGGAGTTATGTCACAAACGTAGGTGCCGACTTAGCTGATCTCTCCGGTGTCGACGCTCCTGCGAAATCTGCAGGGCGTCAAGGATGCAGTGGAGAGTTGGACCACCAGCTATACCTGTCGAAACTGGTGCAGCAGCAGGTACGCTGACCTCTTACCCACAGGCACATACCCAACGCTTGACATGGGATAACATATCAAGTGAGCCCTGACGTGTATCAACGCAGTTTGCTTCTGTTCAGGATATGAGGCCTTCCCCATCGTCTTTCGTGTCCGACATGTGTGACTGGGTGCCGAGATCCTTGTGGGCTCCGCTTCTCAAAAGCGCTATGCAGCAAGACTTCACTAAAGAATACCTGATCACCAATCTACCAACTCCGGTACATTGACACGTGTGCAATTACCTTTTCCTATGCTTGAATACATGCAGACCGGCATGGCTGGCAGTACCGCTACGGTCCGCGATCAGTATGATGCCATCTGCTACACGGCGAATGTAGAAGGTCTGCCGAAAAGAGGAGCATGTTCCGTGTTGGCTGGCGGTGTCTTCCTTGTTTTGACCGTGTGCACGTTCAGGAGTGTACATATTCTCGTTCACCGCCCATGCTCTTGAGCAGTGGCTGATGTCCCGCATATCTGGCTCACCATCAGACGAGACTGCTATCAAGGTATTGCCACATGATCCTCTCCTGCAGCGAAATGAACGAGAGCGGGAGAGTTGTGCTTTGTTACATTGGCCAGGCATCCGTTGCGAGCGCGCTTGATGCGGTCCGCGTGGTGGAGGAATTTCTACTTATGGAGCTACAGGGGTCTCCAGCTCTTCATTTGCTCGATGTGCAGGTTCGTGGGGCAAAAGAGAACGAGAATATCCGGATGATTTTTGCGCTGACTCAGGACCTTCCCCATGTCGATGACCTAGTGCAGCAGGTTGCAGAATCTCTCAGCGGAAAGGAGTAGCGATAGTAGCATGCTTGTTAGCCTGTGGTGAGGAGAGGACAGCAGAAAGATGGACCAGCACTCTGGAGAACGGGAGAATGGCGGTGTCGAGATGTCATTCATTCATTCATTCATTCGAGCGTCCTCATGAACACACCAGGCATTCATTCGGACGATGCAAGCAGCACTGCAGGACACCCTGCAATGACCAGGGC